GGGCGATTTTCAGAGAAGTGCTGTGGGCGGAGAGAAAAAAAATAAGGAACGCTAACGACGACTGCATAATGAAAAAAATGGGAAAAGAACGTAGATCGATCATTGTTGGACATTCATGTTAATAAAATATTTGCAAAAAAAAATCCTCCACTTCTTTATTTCAAAATAGAAAGTGGAAAGAGCTAAAATACGAAACTATAGTACATTAGATTCTCTTTTCACACACACACAAAGACATATTCTTCACATGTAAACATTAGGTTTTTAAATCGTATAGAATATACTTTATTTCCGCCGTAAAGAAAATAGGGAGGGAAAGGGAGGCGGTCGTCGCGCAGGACGCGTTCGAATTTCATGTAAACTAACACGCATTGTGTATGTTGCTATGAGTCACATATCGCCAGGACCACCGCCCTTTAATTAATTTATTATTAATTTATTTCATTTTATTATTTATTTGCTGGTAGTTTTTTTTATATATATATTGGTAGTCGCGTCGTCAGTAATCCGGTCAACAACCTTTATATAATCAGATATTTGCCTAAATCTAAGACCACTAAAAGAACAGACCAATGGACGATTAACGGACGAAGGAACTATGTGGGGGAAAAACGTATTTATGTCAACCCGAACATCCATAAATATTGTTCGGCTGACAACAACAATAAAATAATAATAATAATAAAATACATATAAAATTGCAGTAATTGCAGTTTATAGTTTCAAATATTTTCCCTTTGAACTCATAATATATTCAAATATCTGGAAATCACTTTTTAATTCTTTAATATATATTACCACGGTCATTAAAGAATTGAAAAGTGACCGTGATATGACTAAATAGCTTTTGTCGTTCCGTTTGGTACCTAAGACATTCCATGTTCACATGTTCTGTTTTCTAAGGTTGATTTGTTTTGGGTGTATCTACCTTTCTATATTTCTAATACATGACTGCTTATTCTGAAACAAGTCATTATAATTTTATGTTTTAGATTACAAAGAAGCAACTATGGTTTAAAAGTATATGATTCATTAAACTTTACATACGCTCTTAGTTTCTTATTATTATAGAGGTTAAGATTTCATCATGGAACGTGTACGCGTACGTCACGGTTCATTCACACGCACACACACAAACAAACACACGTTGCAAATTCCGAATACTAGTACGTTGCAAATTCGTGAAACGCCTACGTCGTATCCCCTGTTTCACTGAAACGCCGCGCTGTACCTACTTACAAGTAAAATGCATCCATGAATGGGACACCTGAGCTGTGTGCAGATATCGTATTGTAATGGCAATCGCATTCAAAATATATGTACGTCATAAAAACTTGGATGTTGAACAGCTCTCTGAGATTTATGTTCAATATTAGCGGTCATTGGTGACACCTGATAACAAATTTGCCATAGTCAGGTACTTTTCGAAGTTGCAAGGTATGTGTCAGCTACGGTACACGGAAGCGTTCAGTATTCGTTCAGTTACATTAGTTGCCAAACGTTTCATCCAGCATACTCACTGAAAACAACTTCTCCATTTTGTTAGAGCATCAATAGAATGGGGAGGTCGGGGTGATGGAACAAATCATTCATCTATTTCTTGTTTGTATGGGAGTACAGAATTCATTTGAGTGGCTTCGCACATCAAAACAGTATTTAAAGAAATAAATTAGACATAAATATCCACCGAAAACCAGATATCAGTGACCACTTCTAATGTCTATCGGAATATGTATGAATTTGTTTTTGCGTATCTGTTAATCGACTTAATTAGCTGAATGGCTGTGTTATGTCTGGCACCGTTTAGGCCATGTGATGTTCTGGACGGAACTCGACTCAGTGATTTGGAACTAATTACGAGATAACCGTCGCTATTCGGACTACTATTTCTGACAGTTAGTATTCGTAGTTATTAATGTAGTGAACGATTAATCAAAAGATATGACGTGTTCAGTACTTAGTGTGATTAGCTGTATGATTGAAGGTTACGCATTAGAGTCTTAATACTGCTTTGTAATTGGTTAATGTTTTGAAAATGAATAAAGTTGTTTTTAGTTGGTCTTGGCGAGTACACGAGAACAGAGGAGTCCAGTTCTGGAGAGTCTTGGGGCGAGCCTTGAGGCAGTCCAGTCTTGGGCTAGTCTTGGGTCAGCCTTGCGATAGTCCTGGGGAATTTTTCACAAGGCGCTGTGTCTTATAGAGTGCTCCACAGACCGACTAAGACGAGAGTTGAAACGTATTTCGTTGTGTGTGTCTTATTTGACATTCCCGATCCCGTACCTCAAGGGGACGCGATAGAGAGACGAGACGAGGTTTTCCCCTGACGCGTGTGGAGACCCCAGAGAGAAGTATTTCCCCCAATGATATATGTACAATTATACAATACATTGGTCGAAGTAGTAGTGTGTGATATACATTTTATTATAACATTATTCAACAGTTGTCACAAATGCCTGTATCACTTGACACCATTGAGTGTTGTTAGGATCACCTATAATTGACTGTTTGTAATAAAAACTTCTTAAATTAGCGGTGAAAGAAATAGTTAATAAAATGATGGAGTCTTCAAAATTCGTTGTAATATGTTATACAAATATAAATATAAACAAATAAATGATGATAATTGTTCTTATTTTACTAGAATGACCTAAAATCATTGCAAAGTATTGAATTACATACATATCAAATTATGGTTATGAAAATAAAATCGTTTCTTGTTTTCTTTTGTAATAGTTCTAACATTACCAGTCTCTTATTTGTTCAAATACAATTATTTCATCCTTTTTCTTCCATCTGATACTTTTATCTACTGCCAAATGTCTTCGTCATTGGATTCCACTTTTTCTACTTCAGTAAATGCATAGTTACATTACAACGTTTCTTGGATGTAGGTGAGAATTTATAGCAATTATTATAGGGGGCAAGGGTTATTTTCGTTCAACGTAATTGCAATATTTTTTTGTTCGTACAACGTAAATTGAAAAAAATAAATTCCGTAGTACTAGTCTGAGGCTAGACGTACAACGTAATCAATCAAGTATTTTTTTTCGTACACTGTAAAAATGTGTAATTTTTCTCGGCACGTACAAGAATTTATCATCCAAATAAAAAAAAAGTCGTAAAGAATAACCCAGGGAAATTACATTTTCGAAACTGTAAAACGACTAGATGACATAATTCACTGCAAAATTAAATTTTCACTGTAAACTGTAAAAACGTCTTCTTTTTTCTTGTAAATTGTAAAAAGCCCTTTTTATTTCCCGTAAAACTGTACCAGCTACCCTCTTGCCCCCCATTATATGTCCTTTGAATTGAGTCTTCACTATTCCCATCCTAATATTTGTTTTCTAACCAATAAGGGATTGGTCAGTTACTTCGGCCTAGGGGGGGGGGGGGTCGGTGGATCAGTAGGGGGGTTACCCTGTTTTTGATTGTGCGAATAGGGGGGGGGTCACCCTGTTTTTGATATCATGTTTTCCAGAATTCACACACGCGCTCATGCATATATTTTTAAAAATTTTATTTCAGAACAAACGATAAAAAAGTTAATCGTACAAATGCGTTCTTAATAATAACTATTACCTATATTGCTTATAAATTTGTTGATGCAAAAAATGTTATAGGCTAAATATTGTGAGGTTAAAGTTGCCAAATAACTAACAGATTATGCAATGCGACTAGAACCCCAATTATACAGTTAAGTTTTAAACACATGCCAAGTCCATGTGCTGCTGATATCAGATTATTTTATTTAAAGTCTGAAGTCACTATTGTATAAGATATTTACTGGATTTATCCAATTATAACTGGAGACGGAAAGACAACACAGCAATTAGTACAAAGAGCAGTGGCAGTTTTTGTTCAGCAAATCAAAAAAGTTAAATTTGTGAAAATGCTGATATATAAATTAAAATAAATGATGAAAAAAATAAATAAATAGTTTTTTTGTTTTGTTTTATTAACTTTTAAATATACATATTTTGCTCTGTAAAATACCAAAATCCAACACAAATTAAGCAAAAATCAAAGTTTCCTTTGTTTTCATAAGCACAGACTGTGCTTCGGGTGTAAAGCTTTCCTGGTCTATAAGATATGAAAGATATTTTAAATCCAACTTAGTTTTCAAAGAGTTCAAACCGCCTAGATTCAAATCCTCTTTTCCTATCTTATATAAAGGGCGTTTATCGAGTAAGTACTCCACAGCTTTGCTTTTATTTACTATCTTTAGCAGAATAGATTTCCCTCCTTCCTGCAGCCTTTTCTGTAGTAATTTTTTGGTATTATGCTTCCCCTTCCCCTCCTAAGGTATATTAAATGCAAACGCTAAAGATTATGTAAAAATTAAGGCAAACCATGATATTTTCAATGCACATATAATACATTTTGTAATCATGTCAGAGCCAAAACTGTTAATGTTTCTT